ACCTAGTACTATGAATAAAGTATTATTTTTTTTTTTTTTTGAGACGGAGTCTCGCTCTGTTGCCCAGGCTGGAGTGCAGTGGCCAGATCTCAGCTCACTGCAAGCTCCGCCTCCCAGGTTAAAGTCATTCTCCTGCCTCAGCCTCCCGAGTAGCTGGGACTACAGGCGCCCGCCACCTCGCCCGGCTAGTTTTTTGTATTTTTTTAGTAGAGACGGGGTTTCACCGTGTTAGCCAGGATGGTCTCGATCTCCTGACCTCGTGATCCACCCGTCTCGGCCTCCCAAAGTGCTGGGATTACAGGCTTGAGCCACCGCGCCCGGCGAATAAAGTATTATTAACCCTTCCAAAAAATTGAAAGCTTTGAAAAGTTTAAGCATGTAAGAAGAGGAGATATGATTTTATGAAGTTCATTTTGTGTGGAGAATCAAGTTGGTGGAGCCTAAAACTGGACTTTGGAAGACCATTTAGAAAGCTACTCCAGGTGAGAGATGGTAGTGGCCTGGATTATGGAAGTAGCCATACAGCTGCAGAGAGATGTGGGCAGATCTGAGAGATGCTGATGAGTTAGAATCATAGGACAGGTTGACCAGCTGGTTGTAAACAATAAAGTGGAAAAACTTAAGGGAAAGGAAAGTATCAAAGAGGACTTCTAGCCCTTTGCTTTCTTAATACTCCTTCCTCATCTTCCCACCCAGTATCCATATGGCAGTCTGAGAAAGGAGGTCAACAAGGGAAAAGAGCGTGCTGAGCTGAGGAGTGCCCAAGGAAGCAGAGTGGTAGCAGCAAGGGAGGGTGGGGTAACATGGAGGAGGCCTCCAGTGTGGAGTCAATGGGAATTGGCTACACTAAGGGGAACAAATGAACTGAATGAACAAATCAGTAAGTATACTGAGAATAATGAGAACCCAGTTTCTCTCTAAGAAGAGATTTACAAACACAGAAAGAGGGAAGACTAGACCAGGCGTGGTGGCTCACACCTGTAATCCCAGCACTTTGGGAGGTCAAGGTGGGCAGATCACGAGGTCAGGAGTTTGAGACCAGCCTGGCCAACATGGTGAAACGGCCTCTATACTAAAACTACAAAAAAATTAGCCGGATGTGGTGACGCGCACTTGTAATCCCAGCTATTCAGGAAGCAGGGTCAGGAGAATCACTTGAACCCAGGAGGTGGAGGTTGCAGTGAGCCGAGATCGCGCAATTGTACTCCAGCCTGGGCAACAAAGCAAGACTCCGTTTTGAGAAAAAAAAAAGAAAGAAGGAAGACTAGAAAGAATTCTGAGGTATTAAAATTAAAATATAAATTCATGAGGTTTTTTCCAAATGTGTACATTGACAGACATTTTTAAAATATAAATGTGTATGCATGGGTACATATATTTTATCCAGCTTTGAATACTGAGAAGCAACAATGACACTCCCCAGGGAATGAACACAAAGAGCACCCAGATCTTCGTTTTGAAAAACTTAGGATTTCTTGGAGAAATGACTGATTCCAAGGCTGGCACAGGAAGAGCACAAAAGGAGCCCAGAACGGTACGTGGTATCAGGAGTTAAGGAAGTGCTCAGTGACAGAAATAAGTCCAAGGACACAGAAGTCATCTTGAAAGGATCCCATTGGCCAAATCTGGGATGATTAGAGCACCCAAATAATAAGCAGTAGCAGTAATAGTATCACATTACAACACACTGAATAAAATCTATATCCACGAGTCCATGCTGATACAAATACGTGTATGCACGTTGAGGAAGGGAAAGTGCTTCCTCAAAATAGAATTCCAACTTATATATAAGACTATCAAAATCATTTGCATAGCTAATGATCAATGCAAAAAAAATGGTGTTTACATTTTTAAAGGGTTACTGAAAGCAAAAGAATATGCAACAGAGACTGTTTATGACCTGCAAAACCCAAAATATTTATTATCTGGTCCTTTACAGAAAATATTTGCCAACCTCTGATGTAAAGAGAATGATGCAAAAGGATAATCATCACATAGCAACCACCACAGAGGTATCTGGTACAGTTAACAGTCATCAATGGATGCTATGGAGGTTTAATGAGGAAACACAGACAGACCCAGGCTGGGCCTCACCCCACAAAATAAAAGCTGTGCACTCTAAAAATTGTAAATGACGTGAAAAACACAAAGACTGAAGAACTGTGTCAGACTGGAGGAGACTAAAAAGCTATGAAAACAAAATACAGCCGGGTGCAGTGGCTCACGCCTGTAATCCCAGCACTTTGGGAGGCTGAGGTGGGTGGATCACCTGAGGTTAGGAGTTCAAGACCAGCCTGGCCATCACGGTGAAGCCCCGTCACTACTAATAATACAAAAATTAGCCGGGTGTGGTGGCAGGTGTCTGTAATCCCAGCTACTCGGGAGGCTGAGGCACAAGAATCGCTTGAACCCGGGAGGCGGAGGTTGCAGTGAGCCAAGATCACACCACTGCACTCCAGCCTGGGCAACAAGAGCAAAACTCTATCTCAAAAAAAAAGAAAGAAAGAAAAGAAAATACAATCCATGCTACTGAACAGGATCTTGGCACAGAAAAGAAAAAGGAGACACTATTGGGACAACTGGCAAAATTTCAATAAAAATTAATGATTCAGATAAATGCTAAGTGCAAGTGATAAGAAGCCCAAGATAAAAGAGTCAAACTTGATGCATCAGATGAAAAAAGGAAGGACTAGAAGGTATGAGACTTTGGTGGGAACAATTGAAAAAAACCTTGCCAAGAAAAGAAACCATGCTGAGTATAAAGATGAAAATCTTTATAATGTAATCTTTATAACGTAAGCCCAATTAAAACAAGACAGATTTTTCTAAAGGCTCAGGATTAAAATGAATGTCTTAAAATATTATTCAAAGGCGACTCAAGAAAGTTCACTGGTATACTTTGTAACTCTTTCTGACTGTTTACCTGTAATTATTATTATCTTTTTTTTTTTTTTGCGACGGAGTCTCGCTCTGTCGCCCAGGCTGGAGTGCAGTTGCCAGATCTCAGCTCACTGCAAGCTCCGCCTCCCAGGTTTATGCCATTCTTCTGCCTCAGCCTCCCGAGTAGCTGGGACTACAGGCGCCCGCCACCTCGCCCGGCTAGTTTTTTGTATTTTTTAGTAGAGACGGGGTTTCACCATGTTAGCCAGGATGGTCTCGATCTCCTGACCTCGTGATCCGCCCGTCTCGGCCTCCCAAAGCGCTGGGATTACAGGCTTGAGCCAACGCGCCCAGCCGCATACCTGTAATTATTCATATCATAATTAGTTGCGGGTTTTTGTAATTTTGAAAACATGTGGCTCCTGAAACAGATGTGTGTATAATCAATGCTATATATCCTTTCTTAATGGTAATCAGGAGCAGGATTTATATCCATTGATCTTCAAGATTATACAGGTAACATAACTGAAAATTTTCCATAAATACCCACAGGATTTAGCAACATGAAAGTTACTAGTAACCTTAGCAAGATTAGCTTCAGTGGTATTTTTTGGACAGCACCAGACTGGGCTAAAAGGGTAACGTGGGCCAGAAAGGAGCAACAGTATGCAGCAATAACTCTTTAAAGAGGTATGGCTAGGAATGGGGGGATATGCAGCCAAGATTGTGTGTGTTGTGGGGGCGGCGGGGGTGGTAAATTAAAAAACACTGAAATGCTGAATAGAAGGATCTAGTAGAGAAGAAAGATTTGAGATTCAGGAAAGGGCAAAAATAACCATTTGAGTGAGGTTCCCAAGAAGGGACCAGGAAGAAGATTTAGAGAAACATGAAGAGGTTTGTCTCTGACAAGAGAAGGAACAGCTTGTCAACGGTACCAGGAAGGACAGAATTGAGAGAGGACAGATGTGCAGGTAAATAAGTCTACTTATATGGCAGAAGGCAGTTGGGATAGTTCCCATCAGATGCCTTCACTTTTCCCTGGGCAGCAAGGGGAAAGTCATGAGTGAGGATGTGTGATGAAAATGAAGGGTTGAGGGTATAAGGAAAGAAGACAAAGTAAGAAATTGCCACAGAGAGTAGTGCAAGAGTGAGCTGAACTAGAGAAATACAACAAGGATGCCACATAGCATTTGAGAGCCCAGACAAGACTGCTAACTCAAAGGGATATTTAAATAAATCATAGGGGAGAGGGTTATATTTGTTCAGTAGACTATTAAATTGATACAAGTGTGTTAACACATCTTTATACATAATTATCCTTTATACCAAGTCATTATAACCACATGAGTAAAGTAGTAGGCAACCAATCAAAACACAAAAACAACAAAATCACAGATGCTTGAACATTAAAATGAATTCATCTGAACCACATGATAAACTCATTTGACACAAAATCTGAACGGGGATGCTAACAGGGAAAAGTCAGGGAACACTAAAAATATAACAAACCAAACACTGTACCCTATATGCTGCCACAGTTTTCTACTATCGCCTCTAAATTGTTTTTGAGGCTGGGTGCGGTAGCTCATCCCTGTAATTCCAGCACTTTGGGAGGCCAGGACAGGCAGATCGCTTGAGGCCAGGAGTTCAAGACCAGCCTGGGCAACATGACAAGACCCCACCTCTACAAAAATACAAAAAGTTAAGCCAGGCCTGATGGTGCATGCCTGTAGTCCCAGCTACTTGGGAGGCTGAGGCAGTAGAACTGCTTGAACCCAGGAGGTGAAGATTGCAGTGAGCCGAGATCACACCACTGCGCGCCAGCCTGGACGACAGATGGACACTCTGTCTCAAAATAAATTAATTTATTAATTAGTTTTTGAAACCATAATACCATAGTCCTAACAAGGTTTTACTGAAATTCTCTCACAGTCTCAAAGTTTTCCAGCTCCAAGTTTTCAAAATTCTCTTTTAGAAGAAAATCAAGTTATTTCTCTCAATATTACTCTGAGATTTCAGTTTCCTACTTATTCAATTAAATTTATTCTTATTCTAATATTTTCTTCAAGCTTGCTGTTTAAAGATACCCAGATATGTCCCCAAAACATGCTTCATCTTACCGATACTGCTGTTATCCTAAGAGAATCGGCAGTGGAGTGTCTGAATAGGTACCATAAAATGGGTCCGATTTCTCCTGTAATAAAGCCCTGGGCCTGAGCAGAAAAGGTGGTACAGACATTTTCAATAATTTTTGCTGCCATGTGATTCACAACACGCTCTTCCTAGAAAGGATACAGATCAAGGAGATTAAAATAATATTAATTAGTGTGAGAAATAAATACATGTCATTTCTTTATAACCATTGCAAATAATGTTATGATACCAAGACAGCATCATCTGCCTCTGGATGTGTTAGGCACCTTGGGAGGAATGATAACTCTTTCAGGTCATTATGAAACTATTACAAATAATCATTTGATTATTCACTAGCAAGCTATCATAACATAACCCTCCATATATTTTAATAAAACAAAGAATTATGAAACATATTTCACAGGAAGGTTGCAGTGAGCTGTGATCACACCACTACACACCACTGCTGAAACAACCTGGAAATACCTTTCTTAAGACTCTCCTTGATGTCCCTTATTTAGGCAATCTTTCCACACTGGCTGATTGATGGACAGGTTATTCCTAGGACTGGATGACTTCTGAGATGTGACCAAATTAATCCTAGAGCAAAAGCCATTCTGGATGGTCCTAATGCTGCCAAAAAGCCTCAAAAAGATTCAGCTGTTTTCAGGTAATATAAATGAGTCCAAGGAAAAGCCCAGAAGTACTTACAGAAATTTTAAAAACTTCAGCACCCCATAATATAAAATTCACAGTGACTAACACCTAATTAAACATTGCCAAGCATGCAAAGAAGCCAAAAAATATGATTCATAATTCAATCAGTAGAAATGACTGATAGACTTAATAGAAAGGTATTAAACGGCTACAATAAATGTAGTCCAAATACTCAAGAAGGAAGAGGAAAGCAAAAATATAAGGAGAGAAAAAAAATACATAAAAATGACCTGAATCAAAAGTCTAGAGATAAATAATGCAATGTCTTATATTAAAAATACACTGAATGGGATTAACAGATTAGACACTACAGACTAAATAGTTAGTGAACATGAAGATATAGCTATTAGCAATAAAAATCTATCCAAAATAAACACAGAAAGAAATTAGACTTGAAAAAAAAAAAAAAAGAGCATCAGTGAACTGTGGAACACCTTCAAAAGACATCATAAATGTGTAGTTGGAAAAATGCTTGAAATATTGTCTGAGAATTTTTCAAATTCATGAAAACTGGTAATTCCAGGTCTCAGAAGCTCAACGAGCCCTATGCAGAAGAAACAAAGAAAAATGACACCAAGGTACATCATAATCAGACTGCTTTAAAAAAAGGGAGGGAATAAAGAGAAAACCTTTTGGACAGGAGCAGTGTCTTATGCCTGTAATCCCAGCGCTTCGGGAGGCCAAGATGGGAGAATCGCTTGAGGCCAAGAGTTCAAGACCAGCATGGGCAACATAGCAAGACCTTTTCTCTACAAAAAGTTTTAAAAATTAGCCAGGCATGGTAGTACATGCCTATATTCCCAGTCACCTGGGGGGCTGAGGTGGAAGGATCACTTGAGCATGGGAGTTGGAGGTTGCAGTAAGCTGTGATCACACCGCTGCACTGCAGATGGAGAAACAAAGCAAGACCCTGTCTCAAAAAGAAAAAGAAAAAGAAAGGAAAACTTTACAAGCAGCTAGAGTAAAAAGTCATATTCCATAGAGAGGAACAATGATAAGGCTGACAGGGGATTCTCATCAGAAACAATATAAATCAAAAGACAATAAAGCAATAAGTACCAAAAGAAAAAAAAAGGCAACTGTCAACCTACAAATTTAGGCACAAAAATAACTTCTTTCAAAAACAAAGGTAAAATGAATACTCTTCTGACATACAAAAGTTGAGAAACTTCATCACCAGCAGAACTGCACTACAAAAATATAAAAGGAAATTATTCAGGTAGAAAAAAAAATGATGAGAAGAAAATTAAATCTATACAAAAGAACAAAGAATAAAAAAAGTAAATGTGTGAATAAATATAATAGATTGTTTTCCTTAATTTTTGAGCCTATTTTAAACCTAAGCTGCTGCTGTTGTTTTTCTTTTTGAGACAGGGTCTCACTCTGTCACCCAGACTGAAGTATTGTGGCAGGATCACAGCTCACTGCAGTCTCAATCTCCCGACTCAAGCAATCTTCCCACCTCAGCCTCCCAAGCAGCTGGGACAATAGGCATGTGTCACCATGCCCAGCTAATTTTTTTTAATTTTTAATAGAGGTGAGGTCTCACTATGTTGCCCAGGCTGATCTTGAACTCCTGGTCTCAAGGAATCTTCCTGCCTTGGCCTCCCAGAGTGCTGAGATTACAAGCATGAGCTACTATGCCTAGTCAAACATAGTTGTTTAAAGCAGAAACAACAGAAATGTATTGTGAGCTTCATAACATATGTAGACATAAAATGTATGACAATAGTAGGAAGGCTAGAAGGAGAATACTAGATTATTCTGGGGTAAGGTTCTTAGGAATTTGCATATCATTATATATATCATATAAATAAGGTTCTGATACAAAGTTCTAATATACATGAGGTTCATATATAAGGATTTGTATATCAGTACTTGAAGGTCAACTGTGATAAATTTGAGTTATACACTGTTAAAAAAAGATGTATAGGCCAGGCACAGTGGCTCACGCTTGTAATCCCAGCACTTTGGGAGGCCAAAGTGGGGGTGGATCACAAGGTCAGGAGTTCAAGACCAGCCTGTCCAATATGGTGAAACCCCATCTCTACTAAAAATACAAAAATT